AGGGTTTTTTCCTCAGATATGTGAATTTCCATTGCCACTGAGCTGTTGCCAAAAATGACCAGTAAGAATAATAGTTTCCTCTCAGACCTATCTCAAAACAGATTTCTTAAGACAGTACTTTAGACCCTAAAGAGACGAAATACTACATAATCAGCAAGTGCTTTTTAGTTTAATGTCTAAACTACTGGGCACAGTAAAAGTAATGGTCAGGTTGAGGTATCTTTACCAGTGGGGGAGGTTTCCAGTAAAATAATAGTTAATCAAATAGTTGAAAATCAGGCAAAAGACTGTGGGGACAGGGGTTCTGAGAGGGAAATCAAACCCTTGGAATCTATCTGCAAGGAAAGTACTTCAGTTCTTTCTGAAGATGACTCAGATATGTCAGGAGAGTAAACAGGGAGGAGAACAGTGAATATAACATCCACACACAAGGCCTAAACCAATAATCCAAGCGACTGCAAGCAATGCTTGTTACCTTATTTATTTGATTAAGGTGCCTTGCAGGGCATTAAATTAAATTTTTGGGCCCTTAGCATAGCAACGAGATCAATACCCTACACTGCAATGATTGGTGTACACTCTCACGCTAAATAAATAATTAACCTATTTTTTCCTTTCTCGACAGTTTTGTTACATGAAGAGACAAGTGTAAAAGGTTCACGATGTAAAAATGTGTTGGTAAATCTACTACTGGTTGCACACAATACAGTGAAATCCACTTCTCAGGCCTACAAACACATTTTTGCACATGCTCACTTCATAATAATGTTTTCCCTAACATGACCGAGAAACGGCCAGTTCAAACGTTGAGCTTTTTATGTACTAACCTTAATGCCTGCAATATATTTAATTTGATGCAAACGATACAAGTTCAACAACTGAATATCCTGTTCACAACACTGAAACAGATATGCAAGACTTAGGGTGTAAATATAGAAATATGTTTTGGAAAAAAGCTCTTAATGTTGTTTGTAATGCCCTGGAAATCTCAACACCTGCAACATCTATGACCACCAAGGATGGCCAAGAAGAGAGTAATAAACTTTGCGGATGTCACCCGTAACCAGCCTAACGGTAAATACATGCCCTACACCAAACTGGGTTACAATAATAAAGATGTTTTCTTGCACTTTTGATTTAATATTCAGAAATTTTACTACTTATTTGATAATTGTTTCATATCGTTTTCTTCCTTTTTATCATTTTATTGTCATTGTTCCTATTTTTAAATGTAAATATTTTATGCACTATATATATTTCTGTATCTTTTACTTATTTATTTTTTTGGTATTTATCAATTCAGTTGATATACAATATGTTCACATCAGCATTTTCCTGCTATTTTAACAAGCAATTTGATATTTGTTCTATTAGTCTTTCTCAGCCCCCAAGAAAAAAAATAAGTAATTACACACCTGAATTTTAGTCATCATCCGATTTGACTATCATCCCTGAGCTACAAATGTATTTTAAAAAATGTTTATATAATGTAACTACGAATGATAAGACAAACATGTAAATAAAGTTGTTGTTTTCGTGGAATAAAAATATATCTTTTAAATTATAAGACTTCGTATAATCATCATAACATCTTGAAAAGATGTAAAGGACTCAGTTTAACAGCTATCAAGTTTTTTAAACAATTTTAGGGAGTCTTGGGATACTTCTTAAGGGAGTATTAAATCTACTTAAGTCTTAAATAGATTCAACTGCACCGATTAAACAGATTAAGAATTGAGCTTTTTTGAGTCCTTAAAAAGAGAGCATCCAGCTGAAAGCCATGCAGAGAGGTCTACAGACCATCTCCCTGATCACCTTCATGTTTGGGACACATATGCAAATTATCTCCCATACCAAGTATAAATCGTTTTCACGTGACGTCATGAAAATTTTGGCGCCATTTCGATGTACACGCGCGGGTTGCATCATTATGCAAATACAACGCAAATGAAGTTCACATTGCAAATTGTAGCCTTGCTAAAATGGATTGTTCTGAAACTGAAGCTAAATCAGGTGAAAATGTTGAAGCTACAAAAAGAGCTCTTCGTGTCTGGAAAAAGATAGTTATGACCATCCACCAAATAATGATGTATACTTTTGCAGAACTACAACAGATGAAGACACTGTCATCTGCTGCAACCCAGAATGTCCCATTGGAAGTTTTCACCTTTCCTGCTTACAAACTGTCAGTGTGCCTTAGACATGGTATTGTCCGAACAGTAAATCTTTGCCAAAATTCATTTTAATGGCACAATGGCTTTGTTTCCCAGAATGTCATCTAGATACACCGCATTCTTTACTTGAGTAAGCTTCAAAAGGACACTTATCCATGTGTGAGATCTAAGACTTAAAAAAAAACTTGTATTAAAACAGCACCACATTTCTCCAAACAGCTGCTTTTCAGATCATAGTTCAAAGGTGTCAGTTTTACTCAATGTTTGTTTTTCTCTTAGAAAAACGAGACAGAATTGAATAATTAAGTAACCATTTTTCTTATGTCTATGGTGTAAGCAATCCTTCGAAAAAAATCCTTTTATTTGGTTCATTGCTTTGCTTGTACAAGGCGATCAAACAAGGTAAATTCTGCGTGAAATTTTAGTCTATTTGACCACTGAACCATTCAATTGACATTTCTCCAGAAAAATGGAATTTTTGGCTAAATTGTTCCACGACAGCTTGTTAACATGCTACTACGATTAAATTGTCACATCTTTTTTTTGCTCAATCTATCGATAGCTATCTACCAGAAATATAAGTTGACCAAGTTTCATTTTTATGATGAAGGGAAGTTTTGTGTTTCGCAATGAAAGTCAATTAATTTTCATCTCCCATTAAATTGCAATGTTCCTGCAACCTGGTTACCAACGCGCACTTAGAGTTCACAGGAAAAATACTTGATGTCAATTGACGTTAATTATAAAATTAAACGAGACTTACCTGTAAGATGAAGGTTGATTACAATTCTATCTTGTTATCAGTCTGGAATGAAGGAGTCACATGAGAGGCGTATGCACATTGCTGATCAGTATTCAATGTGAGTGATACAGGAAAAAGGAACAAAGGAGACGGGAGGGTACAGTAAGGGTATTTCCCCAGTAAGCTGAAGTGTCATTGTTACTGAATTTAATACAAACCCCAGGATCGTGAGGACTTGGGTGGGTATGAAAACAGACTTCTCTGGATGTACAGGCAACCCTAATTTGTCAAACAATACAGTGATGTCTATAACATTTCTGACACATTGGTCATAGGTTTGTCCTTGCAAGTAAATGTCATCAAGATGTGCGACAGCTATGTGACCTTGCTTGTGCAGAGAGGATAGTGGAGGTTTGAGGATTTAAGTAAAAATCCTCGGAGCACATGACAAACCATTGGGAAGGCAAGTGAATTCATATAAGGTGCCCTCCCAAATAAAGCGTAAAAATGTTCCATCTAAAGATCTGATGGGAATGGAATAATAGCCATCTTGTAAGTCAATAGCAGCCATAACACAGTTTTTGGTTACAGAAGAAGAAGATACTTTTATTTAGCTAGGGTAATAATAATAGTATAATAATAAAGCCTTTATTTAAAGAGGGTAGTATTTAATAGCCAAAGGCTAATAAACTTGTGGCCCTCATAAAATACACAACTATTTACAATCTAATAAATATAGTAAGCTTAAATAGATAAACAATTAAAATGAAACAGGATGCGAATTTTATAAAAATAAAAAATTTTTAATTGATAGAATTGTCCAAACATAGTGGTACATTAAAAATATAGGAAAACAGATGCTTTTTAAAAAAGGCTACAGTATAGATTTCCTTAGTTGCAGTTGGTTTACAATTAAACAGCTTTTTGGCCGAAACAG